CTTATTAACATTCATCTCTATGAGTAAATGAGAATCAGGTGTAAGTGTCTTTCTGTTATTCCTGCCTTCCTGAAAGCTTCATCTGGGTGTAGAGGAGCTGTCCAGGGTGCTACACTTCCCAGCTTTGAACTGTCCTTGTTAGGTTTGAAATCTACTCCCTGGAAAACATATCGAAGAGCATTTTCTCCAAACCCCTTCTGCAGAAGAGGGCGAGCCTGTGGTGGGAAGCCAAGCTAAACTCTCAACCAGTCTTGGCCATTTCCTGTTCTTTCCTCTGGTGTTTGTTCCCACAAATCAGTTTCCTTACACAGAACCAAGAAACCATCAGAAAGAGAGCTCCTCCACAGAGGCAGAAAGGCCTTGATGGTGCCTTCCCAGCCTCCCTTTAACTGACTGCTGAGGGAGAGGAGCATTTCCATCACTTTCCCCCTTTAGCTCCCTGTAGGTTGCCCTTGCCTCCAGGGCATCAGCTCTGAAAGACTGTTAGTCACCTTCCCCAACCTCCTCCTAGAAATGTCATTTTCCAGTCGAGTGGAGAATTCAGATCAACGTGCAATATGAGTGGCTATCTGTGTTTATTGCACATCAGTTTTATATTTCATGCATGAGTGTATATATGTGTGTATACAGGTAACATGCCTGTACATTCAAGTGTTTGAATGAAGGGCAGTCATAAAGATGATAGTTGATGTGTTCCATTTGCCCTCTGAGGGTAGAACAAGGAAAAATGAGCAAAATCTGTAATGAGACAAATTAAGTCTCAATATTAAAAAAAAACTTTCCTAAGCAGCCAGGTTATTTTTAAGTGGTGTGGGTGACCTCGGAGGGCATCTTTTCTCTGTGTGGCTTCCAGCAATGACTTCTTCCTTACACAGAACCAAGAAACTATCAGAGGGTAGGGGGTAGGGGAGGGTATCCTCTTGGACCAGCAGCTACTAAAGTTCCTTCTAGCTCTGAGATCATGGAATTCTGCAGATTGGGGGCCAGGAACTAAGGAAGCTAAGACATGCATCTGAAGGCCTACAGCCAGCCCCATCCTAGGTGATGGTAGCTTATCTCCCCTGCATAGCACAAAGGCCAGCCAGGAGACCTAAGAGGTCTTCCCAAAGAAAAAGGGACTCGGGAGGGATGTTTGAGTAGGAATCCTTTTCTTACTCTGATATCCCAGTCCTTTCCTTGTCAGTGAGAAGTGATGGCCAATGATCAATCAATCCAATAACAAGCATTTATTTAGTGCCTCCTGTGTGCTAGGCAGTAGTCTCAAGAAGAGCCTGCAATTTTCATTTGACCACTTTCCTTTTCTTTCTCTTTATCTCCAACCTCCCCCCAAAAAATATTCAATAGGAGAATTAGAGAAACCAGTGAGGGCTCTGAATTTCACAGACTCCTCATAGCTCACAGTTGAAAGCAACTTCAGGAGCCAACACATATTTGAATAAAGACGCCCTCTACATCGTTCCTGGAAAGCCATCCTGCAATAGCCTCCAGTCTTTGGAGCCCTCCAGTGAGGATGCTAGATAGTTCCTGAGGTAGCCCTCTCACTCCCCTTTTGGACAGAGGATGTCTTCCTTGAGGTCTTCAAGCAGAGGCTGGGGAGGTTGGGGTAGGGATTCCCTCTGGGTAGGGGCTAGACTGGAGGGTAAGGGGAACCTTCCAGTCCTGAAATGGACAGACTCAATGATTCCAATTGCTGAGCAGTTCTCTCCTGCATCAAGACTAAATCAGCCTTTTGGGCAGTTTTCCCCATGGCTCCTAGATCAGCCAAAGAGAACAAACCTAATCTTCCTACCTGATCTCTTCAAATGCTGGAAGGCAGCTTTCATGTCACCTAGGCTGAAAAACCCCAGTTCCTCAGAACTGAAGTGTGTTGAAGTCATGGGTTTTGATACTGGGACCATAGGAAGGGCCCTTGCCCAAGTCCATTATGGCCCCAGCACTCACAGATTGAACTGGGATAGGGAGAGGGAAGAGACATGGAGTCATCACACACTTGTTTCTGTTTTGAAGCAAGAAGAGGACAGATGGACACTAAAGTCAACCACACACTCACGTCAACATGACAGGGATGCTACTCCATGTTCTTTTCTCTTCATCAATTTTAATGGTCATGACCTGCTACTGGGGGCAAAGCAGGAGAGTCCCAAATCCCAAATATCAGTCATCCTTCCTGGATGGGAAGATCAAGCCATTTTCTGCTCTCTGAGGATCATGGCAGTGCATTCAACTCCAAATCAGTCTTTGCAACAGGATAAAATAAGGGGCCTGGAAGAGTGGTATCTGACCTCTGATTTCCCATACTACTATGACCTTCCCATCAAAGGCCTCTGTTACCTCACCAGTTCCCTCACCCATTCTGAATAACTGGATGACTAATTTTCTCAGTCTCCCATAGGGAAACATGCACATATACTGTTATAGAGAGAAAGTATAGTGGGAAGGGGAAAGAGAAGAATGTTGGTCATTCAGTCAGAAGACTCCTTGATTTGGATCCTGGCTTGGACATTCACTAGCCAGTGGGCCTTGAGAAAACAGCACAGCATCTTTGGGCCTCAACTGCTTCTTTTCCAAAATGAGGGATACGAATATTTATACCACATACCCAGGGCTGTCCTGGAGCCAGCTCCTACTGGCTCAAGAGAATTTATTGTTAGGTTCTCAATGTAAGTACTTACATTTCAGAAATAAGCAAACACTGAAAATCAGGACTTAATATATTGTTTGGTGGACTTTCTGGACTTAAGAAAGTAATGGAGAAAATGTTAATAATGCAAATTAAACTTAAAAGGGCATTCCATTTTTGAGAGCCGGTTGTTAAACGTTTGCCACCACACCCTTTCTCAGCCATCACCAGGCAATTGGGAGGAAAGCACCTTATAAGCCTGAGAGAGTCTCTGTCATCACTGTACAGCACACCCCCAGGTGCTATCACTAGACTGCAGCATGCTGATGCTTATCGCAGCCTTTGAAGCAACAAGACAGGTGCTTAAGCTCAAATGTGCCTTCCCAAGGGTACACAGAGGGAGAGTGTGAAGTCAAAACCCTGTTTTCCTTGTTTTGTTTTCTCTTCATGTCGCCTCCTGTCCTCCCTTCATTATTCATTCACTCAAATAGACACTGGTGGAGTGTATTTACTGTGCTCTGCCGGTCCCCCGTCCGATGGCTCATGGTGGGCCAAAGGGGATGATGCTGGGATCTCAAAGGCCATGTCAGTGAATCAATTACAAGTTCTGATGGGTCCAGCCAAGCTGGGAGGCTCCAATCCTGGGACTCAGGTTAATGATGGACCTTCAGCCCCAGACCATTGAGGACCAGTGCTCCTGGGAGGGCTCTGCTACAGGCGAGGGTGTTCCTACACCAACAGAGTCACAGGACCCAGAAGAATGGGAGCATTGCTATGTGCCCAGCATTGTGCTAGGCTCTCCAGTCATTCAGAGCAGTCTAAGGCACAATACTTGCCCTAGAGGAGCTTACAGTCTATATGTGGACCCTTTTATCTCACCATGCTGATCTTGTGGAATGGGCTGCAATTTGCCATCTTCTTGGGGATCACGGACATCACAGCTGTCTCTGATGCTCCCAGCTTCTCTTTGTCTTCTCTCTAGAAACAGGGGCCGTGGCAATGGAAGAACTGGCTCTTAGGGATGACCACAAGGGTACTTCTCACCTCAGCCATCATACACTTTCAGAATCCATCTTAGCTCACAATTTCATGGAAAAACAGAGGGAGAATGTGACTCATGGCTTCTCCTGAAATTCATTTTGTCTAGATGGAAGAGTCCTTCTCCTTTCTAAAGTATGCACATCTCTCTGGGTTCTGCCTTTCAGATATCCTGGCCCACAAGCATCCTGGGACAAGATGTCCATTTCAGTATCACATTGGCCTGTCTTAACAAGAACTGTGCAGAGATAACATCCCTAAGACTCCTCTGGGTACCTCCTGTAGCTTACTGATTTGTGACTGACCAGTAGGATAGGAATGTTGCTGCTCTGTCCCTGAGTCAGGCCACGTGACTTTGGACTTCTCAGAGCCCCCTGATGTTAGAATTCAAGGTTCTCTCATTGCATTGCCACTGTCTGGCACCATTGTCTTGAGGGCAGGACTACCACCGACCTGCCCCAATGACTGTTCTTGGATAACAGTAGAGAAATGTCAACCCTGGGTCCAGGGCCCTTCCTTTCCATCCTCTGAAACTCTTGGTGATTTTGTCCCTTCCTTGTAGGTGACTGGTCAACAATGGCAAATGCAGCACAAAAGTCAAGAAGGAGAAGGAGGGAGAAAAGGCAGTGGATTTGCCACTTTATTATTATTGTCGTTATCTTTTGGGAAACCAGTCTTAGTTGAGCGATGAGGTCAGAAGCCATTTTGCAAAGGGTTGAGAAGTGAGAAGAGAGTAAATGGAGGCAACAAGAATAGGCAGATGCAGGGCTTGTCCATCTTCAGGGCTGGTCCAAGGCCACACCGAAGGGTTTTCCCCAGCTGAACTTCCTCCTCCCGGAAGGAGCAAGGGGAGTCTGGTGAGATGGCCAGTGTTCTCTATGGCTTCCCCAAGGGCTTTATCCACAGCTGAACACAGGCTCAAAGCCCTGCCCCACCACATCAGATGAACTACCTACAGCCACGGGTCTTTCTTCTGCCTAACCCTAATTGTGCTGCTGACATGCAAAGCTGCACTTTGAAAGTGGTCTTCCAGAGTCAGGGACTGATGCCCCTCCCCGCCTCTCTCCGTTCCCCCACCCCCAGGTTCAGGCCAGTGCAGAAGCAGCGGTGCCTCGCCCCGCCGCCATCTATGCCCCGCATTCCCCAATTCGTGGCGGCTTCTCAAAGAATGTCCGTTCACTCCCTGGCTGGCCGATGCTTCCTCCGCCCTGCCTGAATCTGCTGGCTGGGAAGCACTTTGAGCAGCATGGCCCCTGGGCTCCTGAAGTGATGCAGGCAGGCTCTGCTCCCTGCAGCCCAGGCCTGCCTGACAACTGCTAAAGTGGTGTTCCTTCTGTGACAGGATTTGAAGACAGTCCTTTCCTTGCCCGAGGACCCAGGGGAATTCCTGCACCCCGTGGTCTACGCGTGCACCGCCGTCATGTTACTGTGCCTCTTTGCTTCCATCCTCACCTACATCGTGCACCACAGGTAAGGCGTCGGCACCACCCCAGGCCCATCCCCGGCAGCTGTCGGACTGGGTACAAGAGGAGGCATCGTGCGTGCCCGGAAGCTCCCCTCAGTGAAATGCGGGAAGGGAGGCTGCGGATCTGGGAGGATGGAGTGTAGAGCAGAGCAGGGTGGGGCGGGGAAGAGCCTGGCCCGGCCCCCTTCCCCAGACTACTTCCCGTTATCTCCCCCAGTTAATTAGGTGCTACCAACTATTGTTCCAATGCCCTCCAAATGTGGGTCTCTGGGATGAAGCCCCAATTTTTCCAGCCCAATTAAAGCTCTGAGTCAAATTAAGTGACTTTGGGCCATTGTTTGCCACCTTGCTAGTCCTTACTGAGCCGGGGAGGGGGAGGAACAAGGAGGCACCTTTTTCTGTAAGAACAGGGCTTGGCTGATCCCAAAACACTGCAGACTGGCTCCTAGGTCCCCTGCCTTAGAGGACTCATCCTGAGGAAGACCTTGATTTGAATTCCCATCACAGACTCTTAGGAGGAGAAGTCCCTTCTCTGGGTCTCAGTTTCCTCCTCTGTAAAATGGGGGTGGGGGTTGGACTCTGGCCCATCAGGCCCTTCTCAGCTCTAAATTGAGGACTCTGTGGGAGACAAGTGGGCAATGAGGCCCCCACACTGAGTTGGGCTGGGCCTGCCTGGCACTAGAGCTGTCCTTAAAGCCTCTCAGCTTGGCAGGAGCAGTTCTGTGCTCTGCTGGCCCTGCCCTCGTGACCCCAGCATCACCTCCATGCCACATGTGGTGCTAGAATCATCTGGACTGGCCTTAGAGTCCTCATCCAGGCTGGAGTCAGCTATGAGAGGACCGGCAACGAGGCCTGGGCCTGGCAGACAATCTCCATGACCAATCCCCACCAGGCTTTTAGCGCAGGCACTGTGCTAAGCATTTTTGTTGTTGCTTTCTTTTCTTTTCTTTTTACAAATATGAATTCATTTGACCCACCCAACAGACCTGGGAGATAGGTACTATTTTTGTCCCCATTTTACAGCTGAGGGAACTGAGGCAGGAAGAGGTGAAGTGACTTGCCCAGAGTCATCCAGCTAGCAAATGTCTGAGGCCAGATTTGAACCCAGGCTTCCCAGCACTGTATTCACTGTGGCACCACCTGCTGCTTCTGCCATGGGACACTAACTTGTTTGCTCTTTCTTCCTCACAGCACAATCCGCATCAGCCGCAAGGGGTGGCATATGCTTCTCAATTTCTCCTTCCACACGGCCCTCACCTTTGCTGTCTTTGCTGGGGGCATCAATCGCACCCAGTACCCTATTGTCTGCCAGGCTGTAAGTATCTGAATTCTCTTCACTTTTCTCCGGAAGTTCAGCCCTAGGGCAAGAGCAGCAGGTGTGGGATGTTTCTGTACCTCCCCCTCCTCGGTGTCTTTAGGGCCATTTTCAGCCCATAGCTGTGTCTCTCCCCTGTGCCTCTGTCTGGGTTGGGGCTCTGAAGGCAAGTCTGGTCTGACTGCCCATCCTGAACCAGGCTCCAGGCACTCCAGGCTGGATTGCTTTTGAAGGGACACTGCCCAGCATTGGGGTCTTCTGCCTCCCCCACAAGCCTGCTGGTGGGAGCCCTGAACCTCTGCCCTCAAGGGCCCTAAGGAGCATGCGTGTGGCTGCTCTCTCGACGTCCCTCACTAGGACCCCAAGTCTGTGTCACCCCAATAGACAAGGTGGCAGTTTACTCTGGTTGGGGAGGCAGGAAGCTCTGAAGCCCCCAGGGAGGGTCAGTCTGGACCCCAGAGAACTTGAAACCAAGATTTGTGATGATTCAATTGTGCAAATGAGCCCAGGGTGGCAGAAAAAAGCTGAACTCACAGCTTCCTGGCCCTATGTCTGCTTGCTGGGGCCGTTTATGGGTCTGCAGGTCTGGGTTCAAACCCTTGTCCTGCCATCAACTAGCTGTGTGACATTGCCCAAGTCACTTGTCCTTGCTGAGGTTCAGATTGTTGTCTCTCCAGGGGCAATGCCACCACCTCTCCTCTCTCTGTCTCTGCCTCTCTTGCTCTCTCAGGGTTGTTGAGAGGGACCAGTCAGTCAATCAGATAACAAGCATTTATTAACCACCTACTGTATGCCAGGCACTGTGCTAAGTGCTATGGATACGAAGAAAGACAAAAGACAGTCCCTGCCCTCAAAGAGCTCCCGATCTAATGGGGAGGCACCATGTAAATAACTGTAAAAACAAGATGTGTATGGGATACGTTGGGGAGGACAACAGCAGAAAGGGAATAGCTTTAGAAGAAACCAAGAAAGGCTTCTTGTAGTCATTTGGGGGATGAAGGAAGCCAGGGAAACCAGGAGGCAGAGAGGAAGAAGGAGAGTGTCCCAGGCATGAGGAAGAGCCAGAGAAAGTGCCCAGAGTCCAGAGATGGATGGGGAGGACACCAGCTCATGGCGTCATCTCATAATAATGATGATGACAGTAGCTAACATTTATATAGCACTTAATCTATGCCAAGTTAAGTGCTTTACAATTATTATCTCATTTGGTCCTCACAACAACCCTGGAAGGAGGTGCTATGATTATCCCCATTTTACAGTTGAAGAAACTGAGGCAAACAGAGGTTAAGTGACTTACCTAGGGTCACACAGCTAATAACTATCCAAGGCTGGATTTGAACTCGGGTCTTCTTGTCTGCCTCTCAGCACTCTATCCACTGTGTCACCTAGCTGATCCTGTAAGAAGACTGGAAAGGTTGAAGGGGGTAAAGTTATGAAGAGCTTTGAATGCCAAATAAACTATTTTCTGTTTGCCCCTAGAGGCCACAGGGAGCCACTTGAATGTACTGAGGGTGAGAGATGATGTGGCCAGACATGAGTGGAGGATGGACTGCAAAGGGAAGAGACAGGATGTAGACAGTCTCTGCAGCAGCTATTGCAATAGTCCAGGAGTGAGAGGATGAGGGTCTGCGCCAGGGTGGGGGGAGCATCAGAGGAGAGGAGGGGCCTATTCAAGAGCTGTTACAGTGGTGAAATTGACAGACCTTGGCACCATATTGAATCTAGGGAGTGAGAGATGGTGAGACCAGAATGACTCCTAGGTGGGGAGCCTGAAGGACCAGGAGGATGGAGGTGACCTTGAGAGTAATAGGAAAAGTAAGAGGGGAAAGTCTTTGGCGGGGGGGGGGGGGAAGAATGAGTTCTATTTTGGAATGGTGAGTTTAAGATGTCTGTTGGACATCCAGTTTAAGATGTCTGGAAGGCAGACGGAGATGAGAGACTGGAGGTCAGCAGAGAGTTTGGGGCAGGAAAGGTAGATCTGAGAATCATCAGCATAGATAGTCATGAAATCCATGGGAGCTGATGAGGTCACCAAAGGAAGCAGGATAGAGGGAGAAGAGGACCCAGGACAGAACCCCGAGGGACACCCATGGATAGAGGGCATGACCTGGAGAAGGATCCAACCAAGGATACTGAGAAGGAACAGTTAGAGAGGGAGGAGAAGAACCAGGATGAGAGGGAAGGAGTGCCTTGAAAACCCAGAGAGAAGAGAGAGTGACAACAGTGTCCAAAGCTGCTGGGAGGTCAAAGAAGAGGATGGAGAAAAGGCCTTTGATCTGGCAGCTAAGAGATCATGGGTCACTTTCGAGCACAGTTTCAGGGGAACGAGGAGGTCGAAAATGGATTATAAAGAGTTAAGAAGAGAATAAGAATAAAATAAATGGAGGTGCTGGTGGGGTGGTCTTCTCTTGGAGTTTAACCCTCTTAGAGAGGATAGAGAAAGAGATAGAAGGGCGTGGTGGTGGGTCAGGATCAGGGAGACAGGGGCATGTTTGTAGGCAGGAAGGAAGGAGCCAGTGGAGAGGGACAGACTGAAGATAAGGTGCAGAGTGGGGGTGATGGAGAGAGGGGGCAATCTGCAGGGGAGACAGGATGGAACTGGACCATTTGAGCAGGTTGAGGGGTTGCCTTGGCAAGGAGAAGGGCAGCCTCTTGGTGAGAGACTGGGCTGAAGGAGGAGACGGGCAGAAGGCACCTGAGTGATGAGAAATGAGGAAGAGGGGAGAAGAGGGGCTCCACTTTTTCTGTAAACTAAGGGACAGGGTCTCTGCTGGGAGAGCAGGAAAAGGGGAGCCATGGGAGACTTGAGGAGGGACAAAGAGGTTTGAAGAGTGGGAGATGAGGGAGGCAGAGTGGGATTGCCCGGCAGCAGGGAGGGCCCAGGGGGTGGGGCTTGTGTCCCATAAATTTGTGGCAAATCCAGTCATAATGTGATTTTCTCCACCTTTATCAACATTATCGCTACATTCAACAACAGCATCGCTACAGATGGCAGCAGGAATCTCAGGCTGAGGCTTGGTGGGGAGCAATCTGTGAGGTGATAAGGAGGCCGGGGACTCGAGAGGGCAGCTCCCCAAGGAGTCTAGAGGGGCAAGGAAGGGAGGAAGGTGTGGCCAATGCCAGCTGATGGTCTAGGAGACCGAGGACGCAGTGAGGAAAAAGAACAGGGTTTGGGTCACAAGGCAGCAGTGAGAGGTGGAAGGCCAAAAGATTGTGATCAGATCGGGGAATTTCAAAGTGCCTAACATGGAAGTGGTGCATCTGTGGGTGAGGGCAAGGTCAAGGACATGATGGTCTCTGTGTCTGACTAGGGGGAGCAAAGGAATCCCAGCTGGGAGGAAGCTCTCTGCCCACCCTCTCTGGCCAGTGACACCCTAACTCTAACCTTGAGAGGATGGCCTGCAGCAGCTGGGACCTGCTCAGAGGGGCTGCTTTGTGGGTGCCCTCCCCAGAGCTGGTGCCAATGCCAGGTTCTCCCTGCACTCTGTGTTCAGACAAAATCTAGCCAGTGTAAGAGTTCATGGAGTGACCAGGTCGTAACAAGCTTCCCCAGCACCCACTAAGGGGGCAGGCAGGCTTCCCGGGCTGCAGCAGCCACTGTGGGGGGAAGAGGGCACTCGATTTCCCGTCATCAAGATGATTTTGCCAAGGGCCATCTTCACAAAAGCCCCATTTGACAGTTGAGGAAACAGGCTCAGAGAAATTAAGAGACTCATTCAGTCACGGAGCTGGTAAGAGGCATCGCCAGGTTCAAACCCAGCTCTCCTGGGTTAGAGCTGCCAGTTCTAGAACTCAGTTTGGTACCTGTTAATGATGGAGGCAGCCAGGGGGCACCACAATGCACAGAGCACCAGGCCTAGAGTCAGGAAGACCCGAGTTCAAATGTGACCACAGACACTTTCTTCCTGGGCAAGTCACTTCACCCTGTTTGCCTCAGTTTCCTCATCTATAAAATGGGGATTATAGTAGCCCCTTCCTCCCAGGTTGTTGTATCTGTATGATGCCTGGGGCATAGTTAGCTATTACTCATGATGCCCCAGGAAGGGTCATGATGCCTTCATTCCTCACACCCTGAAAACAGAAAAAATGTGAGATCGCCAGAAAAGAAAGCCAGTGTTTTCCTGATAAATAAGAGGCTGGCCACCCTGCCTGCGGCCTGGGAACCACCGAGAAGTAGTAAAATGGTTTCTATCTGTTGGTGCTTGGCAGCCAGTGCATGCATGGAGCCCTGGGGAGACCCTGTGGGGGAGAGGACCGGCGAGGGCTCATCCATGCCCCTTGCCAGAGTAGCTTGGGCTCTTGGACCCCAAGGACACCAGGCTTCCTGAGACCTACAGAAAGGGCAAGGGTGGGGGCAGCTAGGTGGCACAGTGGATAGAGCACCTGCCCTGAAGTCAGGAGGACCTGAGTTCAAATCCTGCCTCAGACCAAAAACTTAACACTTACTAGCTGTGTGACCCTGGGCAAGTCACTTAACCCCAATTGCCAAAAAAAAAAAAAAGGGCAAGGGTGTTGTAGATGGTGGGGAATGTGCTGCACCCTTTGGGGATGGGGGGGTGTGGGGAAAGGAACTTTAATAGAAAATGGTTTGCTCTGAGGACTCCAGGGTCCTTTCCAGCTTTGGAGAACCACTCAGGAGGGGGCCCAGAGTCAAGACAGCTTGGGACCTTTCATCAGCTGTGGAGTGGGGCTTTCTCTGTGGCTGGCCAAACAAGCCCCCTACCAACCTACCCTGTGAGCCACCCTACCCCATGCCCATCTGAGAGGAGCCCTTCCTGGTCCTCCCCAGGCAGGAGCTGCCCCACCAGCCCCACCTGCAACCTCTCCCAGGACACTGATGGTGACAGAAGGGGCCCCACAGTTGTTATGGCAACAGAGGGGCTAATTACAACTATTAGAGGACGCAATAAACATCACCAGATGGTCATCATCAGTGCTCTCAGGAGGGGAGCCGGCCTTGCTTGGCCTCCTCCCTGCCCAGAGCTTCCTCCCCCAAAGCCAGCCTGGGGCGGGGGCCCACAGCCTCAGCTCACCCACAGGCACCCTGGGGAGGTCTGGCCCAACCTTCACAGAGACCTTGGCCCCAAGGCTGCTCAGACAGAGACATGGGAGGCCACTGCCTCCCCAGAAGGGGGAACTACACAGCTGGGCTGAGACTCCTGGGCACAAATGTGTTCCTGCCTGCCCCAAACTGGAGTGCTGAGGGCCCCAGCCTGACCAGATGCCAATCCTGGGTCACCTCTCTGGCTCACACCAGCCTAAGCTGGGCCGTGGGCCTTCTTTTGGGTCCTGGATGGAGGCTTTTTCTAGAAGTCCACCTTCTTCCCCTTAGCCAAGAGGCCTCTGCCAGGTTGTCCCAGGAAGCAGAGTCACTTTGCTAACTGGCCTTGCCAGGCCGTCCGCGGCTTCCTCTGGAGACAAACCAAACGAACCTCGCAGTGTTCGGTCATCAGAGGGCCAGGCTGGGGCCCTCAGCCACTAATGCGCTCTCCGTTTACAGCCACGCTGTCCTTGTCACTGCAGAATGTTGGGTTACTGCCTCAAGGGTTACCTCATTTTGTAGAATCAGACGGAGACTCCAGATGCAAACTGCGCAGTTAGCTAATTCACCGTTTCCATAGTAATGAGGACCTCTCCTCCGCGTCCTGCCTGTGACAGATGGAGTGTCACTTTATCAGGGGGCAGCTGCTGGGCATGGCAGTGTGGCGACCCCCTTGGGGGTCACTAGGGCGCTCAGATGAGCCCCACTCATTGCTCATGGCCACACCAGGGCCCATGTCCTCATGGAAGGTGGTCAGGAACAAGAATCCATGCTGGCTGGCTTGGTCAGTCCAGAGCCTCATCCCAGGGACCAGCTGGTCCTGATTCTCAAGGAAGGGGCCAGGGCAGTCCAGCCTGGAGGCTAGTGAGGGATGATCCCAACCAGCTCAGGCTGGGGCAGAGACCCCCGCACCAGAGGATGTCAGAGCTGTAAGAGAGCCCTCAGCAGAGGGGGATCTCGCCCATTCCACTGTGGGGCAGTTCTCACTCTTAGGGTCTCTTACTGATGTCGTCTCCATCTTCCTCCACACCTTCCACCCACCGTCCCCAGGTCTGCACTCTGGGACCAATGAAAAAAGTCTTATCTCTGCCATGGCAGCTGGGAGGTGCAGTGGAGAGAGAGCTGGACCTGGGCTCAGGGAGACCTGATTGTGAATCCTGCCTTAGACACCTCCTGGTTGTGTGACCGTGGGCAAGTCACTTTTTCCCTATCTGCCTCAGCTTGTGAATGAGGGAGGTGGGCTCCACGGCCTCGGAGGTCTCTTCCAGCTCCAAGTCTGACGCCATCATCTCCATTCCAGGGCCCTACACTTGACCCAGTTACTGATTCACCCCAAAGCCTGACCCCGGCCCCGTCACATTATGGCCTGCCTTCCTCCGTGGTTGTAGGAAGCCATCCAATCAACACCGTCATTCCTGGGAAGACTGCATCATGCACTGTGCTATGGCCCATTGCCATCCCTAGGGCGCTGTCCCTCCCTGGCCAGCACTGCCTTGCTAGACAGTGCACTCCTTCTGGGCCTAGACTGTCTTCTCTTGGCCCAGGGTCTGCTGGGTACATGGTTGGGGCTCAGTCAATGTGTGCTCATTCATTCACTCAGCCCTTCAAATACCTGAAGAACAGTCAGCCCTGCTCTTCCCTGCCCCTACTCTTTCCTTCTGTAGGCTAAATGTAGCTCCAGAGACTGACCCAACGACACCTTCCAAGAGCACAAGCTCTGAAGTCAGAGGATCTGGGTTCAGATCCTGCTTCTCAGGCTTACTACCTGTGTGTCCCTGGGCCAGCCACTCCCTTTCAGCAGCTATAAAATGGGAGGGTCTCTGAGGCCCCACCAAGCTCTGGTTCCATGAGGCTGAGATCTGTCATTAGAGCTATCCCAACATGGAGGAGTTGGCCCTGGGTGCAGGGAGGTGCCCCTTGCTGGAGGTCTCCAACAACTGCGGCCATAGTAGGTGGGCACAGAGTGGACCAGGCAACCCTCCAGTTTGTTCTGTCTCTAAGCTCAGGACTCGCTGACCTACACAGTGTAAAACTGGGGCTCCCATCAGTCACTATGAGGGCTGTGTGGGAACAAAGGGACCGCCTGTGGGAAGGGGAGAGAATAGAGACCTGAGGCCGCCAGACTCTCCCTAGAAGGCTCTTCCGCTGGTGATGGGAATTGCATGGTAACCTCACCTCAACCACAAGCAGGGCACCACCCAGGAGCCCCCCCAAGGGCCCACACAAGGTCCATAGAATGTCCACATGGCACCCACATGGGGCCCATACGGTGCCCACCTGGCACCCTCAGCACCCACATGGCACCCACACAGGGCCCATA